CCATTCTTTAATCATTGAAAAAGAGAAGGAAAGTAATTAACATTTCTCTTCTTTTCCACCATACCCTGCCCTCTAACTCTCAATCTTAGCTTATTTTATTATTATTTTTTTTCCCCATTTGACTCTCATTCTTATCTCAAGACACGCGCCTCTATGAGCTATAGATTTTTTTGTTTGTAAACTGAATCATCCATTTTAGAGAATGATTTATTCTAGAAGAGTTGTTGAAATTACAAGAGCTTATATAAAATGCTTCCTCTTGATTCTCTAGCAATAAGTTTGGTGCTAGTTTAGATTCTAATTCTATGAAATAAGTTGAAATACATAAAAATTTGAATATGTTATCTAATTCCGAGGTAAAGTCATGTCCAATTCAACTTTGATGAATCTGAAATTCCTTGCCGGAGGGGAATACTAAATTTGTGGTTATAAAACCAAAGATGCGATTTTGACCCCAAATAGTACCTTTTTTTGCGTAGGATTTGGTTGGAATCATGATACTAGCTAAATGTATTGTGATCTTTTAATAGATTAGTTTGTTGTGCATTATGTTCTCTTACATCTTTTCTTTGTATGTTTCAAGGTGGTCCCAAAGCAGCTTGTGCTGGTTGTGCTGGTTTTGCAGCATTCTCAGTTCTCATTGAGAAATTCTTGGATAGGCATAGTTGAGCAAACATGTATTCTGGTTTCATTTTGTGAAATTAATTTATTTCAAGTTTGGAAGCGGAACCGACAGCTTCATCGGCTAGTTCATCACTATTCTTCCCGGATCTTCTTTGCCCCTTTTTGCAATTTAGTCGATTCGATACAGTCCCCATTTAATAAGTGGGACATGCTATTGAGATAAGAATTTGTATTATCTCCTATTATAAATTTCAGTTTTGATCAATATTATTTGATTAATACATGCTCTCCGATGTTGGACTTCTGGTCAATATATCAATTAATCACTCTTGATTTTGATTTTGGTTGATATCCTTAGAAGTACAAGTTAAATTAGTAATGATGGCTCAAATAATTTTTGCAAATATAGAATATGAATTCATTTGTAGATTTGTACGGAAGCTAACTATGATAAGATATGATATTTTCTTTAGAATTTGAACCATAAATTTGACATTGAATTAATTTTGTTATAATAGAAAATGAACCGTATTATTTTTTAAAATTTAATTTTTATCATAATTATGTTTTCGTAAATAAGTTTTACACAAATTTTGTATTTATTTCAATCTTGGCAAGAGTTGTATTGCATTCATTTTTCATTCCCTCATCAAAACGGCGCGTTTAAGCGCTTGACAAGAATTGCCACCAAAAACATTCTCGCTCGCCATCTCGACTCTGACAGACCCAGACCCAGACCCATTTGCTCCTTTACCTTCACGGTCACTGAATCTGATGCCTCCCAATCTCTCCTCCCTGGTCTTCTTCCTCTTCTTTTTCTTGCTGGGCTCTGGGGCTCGAGCCATTGGTGTGAACTGGGGCACAACGGCGTCGCATCCTCTGCCACCAACCAAGGTCGTGGAGCTCTTGAAAGCCAACAATATCACCAAGTCAAGCTCTCGATGCTGACCCACTGTCCTCAAGCACTCTCCGGCTCTAACATGGGCGTCACTGTTGGTATCCCGAACTCCCATGCTTAAAAGCTTGAACTCTTCCAAGAAAGCTGCAGAGAGCTGGGTACATGATAACGTCACCCGCTACTTCTCAGGTGGCACCAATAGAGTTCGAATCGAGTATGTTCTCGTTATCGTTTCGATGTGTTTGATTAAATGCTGGTTTAAATCTCTAGGTCTGCTCCGTTTTTATGTTGTTCTTGGAGTTGGATTCTTTTTTTTGTTCGAGCTGCAGATTCTCGGGTTTTTCTTCATCTTATTATTCCAAGCCTCTTTTTTTTTTTACCTTTCCAAATTTTTCTGCTTCGAAGAGTGTGTGTTTCCTGAAATTGGAGCTTTGTTTGTCTTTCTATTTATCCAAAAGGTAGAAGGTAAGGACTTCTTAACCTGAGTTTGAATCTGAGATTTTTCAAATGCTCCTGCATTGGAGATTTTACCACTAGACCAAAGAACTTGATAGTCTTTTTTTTCCTCTTGCTTTTAAGGCTTGTTGGTGGTTCAGCTTTACAGTGGAAATGGAATGAATTCTTTTAACTTTTGGTTGATCGAACTTTTAATGTACTTTCTGGGCTCGTTAGTTGCTGAGTTGGACATTTTGCACCAATAAAATCATTCAGTAAATTCAGCTGCCAATTTGGCATTTTGCACTTTCCATAAATGAAAATGATGATGCAACTTCAAAGTATTCTGTTCCTATAAAACTATGGTACTTGAATTTCCAAAATTTTCTGGCTTCTGCTACGCATCTCTCAAGCCACATTATATCATTCCAATATTTCCTTAAGAAGAACATGAGGGAAGGAATCTTTTTTTAGCGCAAATCTAAGTGTTGTCATTTCAGTATTATTGCGTTTATCATAAAAAATGAAAAGGGAAAAGATGAAGCAAGAAAGCATCTTACCTTAAGGAGCAGCCATATGAGACAAAGGGTATTTTGTGAAGATACTTCATGTAGGTTGCAAATCTAAAACTTACAGGCATGAACCATGAGTTATTGGAGATTAGTTTATTTGCAACTTTAGGAGTTTTCTCTTATAATTTAGAAGAACATGATGCAGAAGTTCTTCTTTTCCTACTTCTAATTCGTGGATTTAAGTGTATTTTAGGGTCTTGATGAGCTGGCTTCTTGGCCCTTTGGAGGTTAAACTTCTCTAGCAGAGCTATGATATCATTATGGTCCGGGTTTCCTCTGTTTCCTGATGTGTGCAAGGGTTTCATCGAGTTTCATCCAGCCTCCTTGCCATTTCCTACTGTAATTTGATTTTAGTTACTTGTGGTCCATATTTGAAATAAGCTTGTTCATCACACAAAAATTTTAGTGGAAAGACTATTGCTTTCTACCAAAAGGGAAAATTATATTGCAGAAAATTTAGGACTAGGAGACAACCAAGGACATTTTAGCTTCTGAAGAAATTTCAAAATTAAAGAAGTTGTCGCTCATAAGTGAAGTATTCTTGACAACACGACATTTTAGTATTTAGTAGTAATGGAGCATGACATCTGAAAAGTAAAGTAACTGCAACATATTTACTTAGTAGTTATGTACATGAGTTACATGACTTTGTTGTTTCCTTTTGTGTCATTCCGTTTGGTCAAATTTTATCTATATTATTAAATGTTGCATAATTTTCTATCAACTTTTGAATGATTTACAGGTATATTGCTGTTGGAGATGAGCCATTTCTTCAAAGTTATGGAGACCAGTTCCTCTCCTTTGTTATTGGAGCTGTCATGAATATCCAAATAGCCTTGACCAAAGCAAACTTGCCGGGCGAGGTGAAAGTTGTGGTTCCATGCAGCTTTGACACCTTTATGACAGAATCTGGCCTGCCCTCTAAAGGACAATTTAGGAACGACCTAAACAAAACTATGATCGAACTCCTAACATTTCTCAGCAAGCATCACTCACCTTTATTTGTGACAATATCTCCTTTCCTAAGTTTCCACCAAAACAAGAACATTTCCCTTGATTTTAGTCTCTTCAAAAGAACTGCACGCCCTCATAATGACAGTCGTAGAATATACAGAAACAGCTTTGACTTAAGCTATGATACTTTAGTTGCTGCATTAGCGTCGGTTGGATTTCCAGCAATGGACATTGTTGTGGCAAAAAATGGGTTTGGCCTACAGATGGAGCACCCAATGCAACTGCAACTCTTGCAGAGACCTTCATGAATGGCTTGATGGATCATCTTAGTAGCAAATCAGGCACACCACTTAGACCTCGGAGACCACCAATAGAGACATACATTTTTAGCCTTTTAGACGAGGATCAAAGAAGCATAGCCACTGGAAATTTCGAGAGACATTGGGGTGTATTCACCTTTGATGGCCAAGCAAAGTACCATTTTAGTTTTGGTCAGGGTTCGAAAAACCTTGTAAATGCACAGAATGTCGAGTACCTTTCTTCCAGATGGTGTGTTGTGAACAATAACATGGATCTATCAAATGCATCCACAAGAGCTCTGGAACTATGTAGTGCAGCTGATTGCACCGCGCTGTCCCCAGGTGGATCCTGTTCCAATATTAGTTGGCCTGGGAATATATCATATGCATTCAACAATTACTACCAACAACATGATCAGAGGGCTGATAGCTGTGATTTTGGAGGGCTTGGTCTGATCACAGCCGTTGATCCATCATCTGGTACTTGCAGGTTTGCTGTTGAACTGCTTACCTCTCATTCTTCTCCGCCGATGCAGTTCTATGTTTTCCACTCAATTATGACGTTGACCCTTAATGTGTTGTTATGCTTACTTATTTCAAGTAGTTGATAGAAATTTAGGACCTCGTGTCTCTGTGATATAATCAGTCCTATTCTTGACGATGTTATTTTTCTTGGTTTCTTCTTGTGCGGATTCCAAATCAAGAAAGAGCGCGAAAAAAAAGTTGAGAATGAAAGGTTTGTTTCGTCTTGTTGTCATTTATTTGGGCCATTTGTGATTTTCTTAGTTATGGCCTAAAAGGAAAGGAACCCAAAATCATCAACTACCTCTCTTTTACTAGTTTCAATCGAACAATGTAATCATGTCGTTGCAAGAGCATGATGGCAATTTAAAGAGGTGGTAAATTTCTTTTAAGTCGATTACGTAAGTTTTAAGAGACTTCTAATGAAAATTTAGCTATTAGTAAATTTTTTACTATTTTTATGCCATTAAAATCTTTAACATAAGATTTTAAGATACTTATCATTCGATATAAATATTAATAGAAATATTTATTTATATTTTTTAAAAATTGTGATTCATACTATAAAATATAATATAATGGTAATTTGTATAAATAATTGAGATATTAAAATTTTTATATTTTTTTAAAAAATTTTAATAAAAATTTATTATTTATATTTTTAGTGAAGATAATATTTTTTTTAAATATTTAATAGACTTAAGTCAATATAAAATTTTAACTGAAAATAAAATAAAAAATTAAATTTTAATTGAAAATACAATTAAAAATTAAACTTCTAATGTGAAGATTAAACATTAGAAACCAATCTGAGAAACCATATCTAAAATGAGAGCTCAAAAATAAAATTAAGATAATTCTTGTTTGACCAAAAAAAAAAATTGACCCTGCATACGGTGCAACACGCTCATAAGGATGATCAGGTGTAAGAGTCTGACGAGACAAGGTGGCCGTCGGATCAACAAGTACATCAAGGGACATTAAGATAACTTTTCAACAACAGTAACAGAGCTTTGTTTGGGTAGGTCGGTAATATTCGCTGTCCGAGTCAGCAAAGATTTTATAACACACCTCCATACACGCGGAGCAAATCTTCAATTATATACCCTAAAATTGAATACCCTAATCTCTCTCTCTCCAGCTCTCGCTCTCGATCTCCAACAAAAAGGCTTTAAACCAGACCCTAGATCATGGCTGGGGTATACGGTGGTCAGGATGGCGGCGATGGTACCGCTCCATCCTACGGTGATGGCGGATATGGTGGACCCGGTGGTTACGGTGGTGGTGGGGGATATGGAGGAGGCGGCGGTGGAGGAGGATATGATGGTGGCGGTGGCGGTGGCTATGGAGGACGAGGTGATGGTGGTTATGGTGGAGGCGGTGGTGGTCGTAGTGGAGGTCACGGTGGTCGTGGCGGCGGATATGGAGGAGGTGGTGGCAGAGGAAATCGAGGTATGTAAAATAAATCTACGGATAAATCTGTCTGGAATTCGTCTCTTTGCGTAGGTTACTGGCTCAAGTTTATCTATTTTTGGTTCGTTACTGACTATTATTTTATTCCGATCGACAGGGAGGTGGAGGAGCATACCAAGGCGGGGACCGCGGTGGCCGAGGAGGTGGTGGTAGAGGTGGTGGCCGGGGAGGTGGAAGCGGCAGGGACGGTGACTGGCTTTGCCCTAACCCTAGGTATTTTTTTTTTCCTTCTCGACAATCTACTAAATCACCATGCTTTTTCCTAGAAGAATTTTTTTTTGAGTGTTTTAATATTCGTTATACACGACCCTTTTTATTTTTTGGTTGACGAACGTATGAATTCTTGTAATTGAAACTGCTATATGTGTAGCTGTGGGAATTTGAACTTTGCCAGAAGAGTTGAGTGTAACAAATGTGGTGCACCCTCTCCTGCGGGTGCTGGTGATCGTAGTAGCAACATGGGTGGTAGTGGTGGTGGTGGTGGTATAACAGGGGTGGAAGCGGTGGCGGTTATGGTGGTAATCGTGGTGGTAGGGGTGATGGTGGTAGGAATAATAACTATGACAGTGGAAGAGGTGATGGTGGTAGGAGCAACAACTATGATGGTGGCCGATATGATGGGAGGAGTGGAGGCAATAGAGATAGTTCATATGGTGGTAATCAAGGAAGGGATGATGGTGGTTATGGCCAGGTTCCTCCACCTGTCATCCCATCTTATGGCGGTTCTGGGGGAAACTATCCACCACCACCTAATGCTTATGGTGGGAATGAAAATTATGGAATGGAAGCAGTTCCTCCACCAGTAAGCTATACTGGTGGCCCAACATCATATCCCCCATCTTATGGGGGTCCTGCGGGGGGCTATGGTGGCGATGGCCCAGGTGATGCAAGGAGCGGTGGTAGAGGTGGCCCTCCTGGTGGGTTCGATGGTGGGTATGGCGCTGGTGGTCCACGACATCAGGGAGGTGGTTATGGTGGAGCTTCTGTTGATCCCCCTGTTAAAGTCAAGCAGTGCGATGAGAATTGTGATGATTCTTGTGACAATTCAAGAATATACATCTCAAATCTGCCTCCAGATGTTACTACTGAAGAGCTGAGGGAACTTTTTGGTGGAATTGGACAAGTAACATCCGAATCTTTTATTTCTGTTTCTTGCTTGTGTTTTATTTATTCAAATAGAGAAGCAGAAGCTTTTAATTACTGTAACTTTCTTCCTGTTGGAATTATGTGGTAGACTATTGGTTGTTTCCTGTTCACTCTATATATCCTTCATATTGATTATTATTGACAATGAAATCCGTCTTATCTCTAGTGACTAACAAGAGGTTAAGACTGCCCAATTTTTACAGATTGGGTGTGACTTTTTCTGAAAACTTATGTGAAGGCAGATTTCAATTGCCAGTGAATGTTCTGTATTTTGCATGTGCTTTTGTTTCTCCCCACAAAATACCAACTTTGTACTTGTTTATATAGGTTGGAAGAATCAAGCAGAAGCGTGGCTATAAGGATCAGTGGCCATGGAATATTAAAATATACACCGATGAGAAGGGAAATAATAAAGGCGACGCATGCTTGGCTTATGAAGATCCTGGGGCTGCCCACTCTGCGGGTGGCTTTTACAACAGTACTTTCTTGGAACCTTTATTTTATTTTATTTTATTTGGTACGGTATCTTCAGAATTCCTCAAGATACTTATGGGTGGACCTTTTTTTTCCCTAGATTATGATATGAGGGGTTATAAAATCAATGTTACAATGGCAGAGAAGTCTGCGCCAAGGGCTCCGCCAGCATATGACCACAGGTTGCTTCTCTATCCATGGCAGGACATCATTTGGATTGCTGCTTTTTGTTTAAGCTTGTTGCGTTTTTCAGCCATTGTTTTTGCTTATATGTGCTATTTCTTGTGGTTCTACATTTGTTAATTGGGGTGTGCTTTGTTTTGTCGTGTACTAGCTGGATATCTGTGATTATGCTGTGGGAATGTATTTATTCATCTGTTTTACATGTTTTGGAAGTGTTTGCAGAAAGTGTGTGGCTGCTACAGATCACTGGTTTAGTTTCCTTCTTCATGCATGTTGTTTTATCATGTCTAGTTTGCCTTTTTTCCACATCTGGCATACTACAAGCTCTTAAGTCAAGAAAGGCGTCCTG